GGTATCCAATCACTTCAGAATCCTTCTGCCTGGGGACCTAGACCGGCACTGGTCATTTCATAGCCTGAATGTATATATATATATATATATATATATATATATATACTTTTTGCTTCTTTGTTGCTTGTTTGGAATTGTCTTTGGTGATATAGTCCACTATAGTGTGCTCATTTTTTCTTTTCTAGGATGAGCGAGTCCGAAAGGAAGCAGAGGCAGCAAGATTAGAAGAACAAAAGCAGCAACAGTCTGCCGTAGCCACCGCACATGAGTTAGCCAAAGAACGGGCTGAACGGCTTCAGCGACGCGAAATGCTTCGATCTATAGAATACGGGGCTTCCAGTGACCTGGACGGTGAGGGTGATGTCGGATCTCGCAATTCGTCGCCCGATTATCGCCCTCCGGGATTTTCCGCAAGGACCGCTCAGGGCACTGTGAAGCCTCCTACGTTTCAAGAGCCAGTCACATCGCCACGATTATCCTCAACTGCATTCAGTTGTAGATTTGACAAAACCGGTTCTCCAAAGATGCCTATTCCGCGGACGGGAGCCGCATTACCTCAACCATTGAATCACATTGCGATCGGTGGTGTCCGACCACTGAACGGACCGTCGAACATTTTTCAGCCGAGAGTTTCCCCTTTTAGTCGTGTCACCATCGCTTCTCCCCATCCTACATTTGGTGTTCGGTTTACTGGTATCACTCCTACGCGTCCATTGCCCGCTCCCCACTCAGCGACCAGGCAATCAACTATAACGGTTGCTGGGCCCATGGCTCAGACAAACTCGCCAGTTACCTCTTCGAACGCTCCACCGCTGTCAACACCGGCATCCGTCACCAATACACATTGGAGCAATTCCATTCCCTCAGCGAATCACGTTTCCCAGTCCCCATCTGTCCGACCCATCCCACCACCACGCAAAATCTATCGCGTCTACGATACCCTTTTCACCGAGAATGCAACCCCAGTTCGTATCAATCCTGATGGCACACTCCATTCTCTCCCCCTGGACTCAATTCCCGCTCATCATCGACAAGTTGCTGTTCAAATGATAGCCCGGTACAAGCAGCATGCAGCAGCAGGACTAGCTCCAGCCACCACACCTAAACGTGTTTCAGTCACCACTGGCGAACCAGACCCAACTTGAATCCAACTTGTTCGAATACTTAGTTCGTCTGGTCCACCGCTTTCCAGCTTTTCGTACCGTTAGATATTCGTATCTATTGCATTTTTATCGACCACATCCTCACGTTCGGATCCCAGACTGACTTTTAACGAATGTGCGGTTCATCAAATGTTGTCTCTGTGCACTTGGATGCATTTAAACAAAAACAGGATTTCTCCTTTTTCATTTTACTTACTGATGATGTTTAGTTGTATATACAACAAATTGTTTTTGACCAGGGCTTTATTGTGTCCTTATTGGCTGTTTTTTGGCAATCGGGCGATGTGCGGAGTTAAGTGTAGTTTACTTCCGTTTTTTAACGTCCTTCGTTTTTCCGGAGAAAAAGCGACATGAGTTGGTGATGTTAAATAGAGACAGCGTGTGGAATCTGTCGGTAGTTTTTGTGCAATTAGAAAAAAAGGACATATAGTTTCATGGAAGGCATTTTATCGGCTATAACTTACCGTATGCCGTAAGCATCTCTTGTCATGGAACGTCCTTGAACGGACCACTCATCTCCAAATGATTCAGAATTTTTTGGAAAACGGTAAGTACGTTTCGTAAGATGTCCTCGACCGTTTATCGTGTGGTTTGAATTTGGCAGTTATTCCTTATTTGTTTTCTAGTGCTGAAGCAATCTGTTCACAAAATAGTCCCATCTGCAGTTTGGATAGGAACCTCTAGCAGCGCTAATATTTGGGCGGTAGTCAGAAGGTTAGCCTGTTTTTAAGTTTAAGTTTACTTACTCTTTCTTGAAGTGTACAAAGTGCTCCGTCGTAAATGTTAGCATGGATTGCATTTTATTGTGCTATGCACTTATGCTGTGCGAATAACAAATAACGTCCTCTGAGTCACTGACTTTGGGGCAGAGGTGCAGTAGTCCCATTTTCTTAGCTAACTGATTCACCATCAGTTTGCGAAAACATGTGGTCGTATCGAACAACGTATGCTGTAGCATCATCAGTTGTTTCCTCCAACATGCATCCTAACCCGGAAACATGCCTCAAAGAGACAAGATGGTTAGAGCGCGAATTTACTGACTGGAAGGTCCATGGTTCGAACCCGACCTCTGCCCCTCGACTTCCCCTGTCTAGGCTTGGGTAACCTAGCAGTATCCCGACCCTCGTGATTCCCTCAGGTGGCATAGCAGCTAGGCGCCGAAAGGGAGTTACAGCTGGACGAGTATTATTAATTATTATCTCACATACCTCAATCACAACTTTCTTCGCAAACCGAAAATGTGATGCATAATCTTCGAAGTTTGATGGACCGGATAGCTGATGGATTATCTGTGACTGATGGGTTCACACTCAACTCGTACCATGAAAAGGAGTAGAGCGAGGGTGAAGAGTCTGGTGATCTTTCCAACAAACATAGGAATGGACCGAAAGGTACAGTAGACGAGGCCTTCTTTAACATCACGGTGACGAATCAACACTGGCGGCATTGAGTCTGCACGTGTCGGACGACCGGTTTGTGTGGTTATCTTATTCCTACTACTTCACCAGCAAACGCCGCTAGACTGGCTGGAGTCAAGCGACATATCCCAACAAATATGCTGGGGCCATTTATTGTTTAATTTTGGCTGCAGTCGGCCAATCCGATTGATCGGCAAAGTAAGTATACTGGTGCACCCTTGCTGCACATCGGTGTCTCGTTTCAGCTTTTGGCCGAGGCCACATTAGGGATGATGGAAGTCAGCACCATGATCAATAACCTGGGCGTTATGGCCGCGACGACCTGCACGGTGAAGCGAATCTGACAGTTGTTGGGGTAGCGGCTGTGTAAAGACGTATGCATTGGAAACGCCGTCTGCACAAGCCTACAGGTGACGAGACTCGCGGGTCTCATTGTGGCCAGAGACAGTGCAACTGAGGGCATGTCGAATCAAGGGGCTTATGTAGAGGAATTGAATCTACCAATATATAGTGCTCTTCATTTCGGGGTTATGCTTTTGTCAGGATCGTCTTTAGATTGTACATCATTCACCTTGCATAATAGATAGCTAAACCTCAATTGCTAGTCAAACATCGGTCATAAAACGCGTTCGAGATGGAATAATGGTTAGGTCGCGACCGGAACGCCTGTGGTTCGAACTCCACCTCCTCGACTCGACTGCTGTAGGCTTGAGCACCCTCAACCATTGTACCTTATTGAGGTATCTTGGCAGCTCGACCCGGAAAAGGTGTTGCAGCTGAACGATTTCTTTACGGTGCATTGCAAGGATTTCCTTACGTTGATCCGAACTACCGAAGTGTTATGCGCGTTTGACTTGTAACCTAGAGATGGGCAGCTCAATATTGCAGGTGTCTAGTGGTGACGAGTTGGAATTTATGGTGAGAGTGAGTATTGACAAGTGTGCGGATGAAGAAACACCGTTTAATGTGTGGATGACCCCGTGTCTATGATTGTTTTTGTCCTGTCTCCTCTCGGAGAGACGTCATTGCCAACATGACTTCTCTCATTACTAAGCCATAAGATCACCATTTTTGTGTTGTTCCCATTATGTAATTGGTTGGGCGAGATGTCCGAGATGTCAGCCCTTTAGCATTCAGCGTCAAGCTTAAGTGCATTGTTAGCGATGTCTTTCCAGATTTGAGTGTATTTACTCGTTCATGCGAATCACTCGCAGCAAGTTGCCCAGCATTTGCTTTTTTGAGTTAATTTTTAGGGCTTGCGGTGAATGAATCTACACACAATTCCTCGCTACTTCCGGTCCTTCAGTGGAGGCTTTAGAATCGCAGTTACCGAAATTCGGTTTCTGATTTCAACATTCTCTGTACACCAGTCAAATTGCTTCTGAGATTCGGATTTGTTCTGATGTCCAACCGCATCATTATCGCTAAATGTCCTAGCACGGACACTCGACCGAGCTCATTCGTGGTGTACCGTCAGTGATTTGCTGCTTCACGTCGAAACTCCAATCGCTTAGATTTCGGGCATGTTTATTTGACTATCAGGAACTACCATAGCTGCATACAGTTGAGTAATTCGAGTGAGGCGGTTGGCATTCCTGCTCACGCGCGCCACCCACTGTGAAGTCAGTTTACTTTGTGGCGATGAACACAAGAATGTGTCGCTAGGAGAATGAGTCACTAGCGTAAATTCCACTAGCTATCGCCCACGAGTTGCATTCCAAGACCTGTTTTTATGCTGTTTCTAGCCTGGATATTTCCGTCAAAGGCACACGACGAACTTCGCATTTGGATGCGTTTCAGATTAGGTATCACAATCATTGCGTCACGAAAATCTAGAAGTTGAGTTCAGGGTTGAGTGAACTCAGCTAATCCGAACTGACTCTCTGTTGAAGAAAACGTTAGTAGCTCAGGTGGAATAGCTAGTCGTTGGTTTGTTCACTGAACTGGGCACTTTACTACTTGCAAAAGTATCGTCACCAACCGAAGTGGCATCACTGCGCCATTAAGAAGCTTGGCGTGGTGATGCTTCAGTGGCTGGTGGCACCACCACTGTAGTACTGCTCTTGAACAGGGGTATATAACGCTTTCGTTGGTACAGCCCCCTCATGCCGCTGTGGTTATTCAGGTTGCCTCACACGGAGCACTGAGGCTCATCAGCACTGCCTATTCTTGGTCGTATTAGGTTTTAACCTCTCGACACCGGACATACTAGGCGAATTTGTTGCTACTTTTAAATCAGAGTATGCCGCGCACACTGGAATTATCCTGTTCATACCCAGGGAATTTGTCCACGATTGAGCGATGTGTGTGTACTAACTAGGGTAATCACGCCAGGACAGAATGCGTATTTATCGTGGTCACTAGCTATGAAGATCAGTAGTTTTGCGGTTACCGGAACTACGACCAGTAGCTTCATTCTTGACATGGGGGGCTGAGCTTGAGTGCTACCGTGAACCAGTAGGCTATACTGACCGGAACCTCATTTTCCAAGATCTAACCATGTTGAGAGGGCGGCGACGTGGCTCAAGTGGTTAGAGCGCGAATTTACTGACTGGGAGGTCCATGGTTCGAACCCGACCTCTACCTCTCGACTTCCTTGTCTAAGCTTGGGCAGCCTGGCAGTATCCCAGCCCTCGTGCTTCCTTCTGGTGGCATGGCAGCTAGGCACCCTGAAGGGTGCTACAGCTGAACGATTTGTTTATTCTGAGAGGGACAATGGAGCACCAGGTAGGATACAGCATCCTACTATGACCTCAAAACTTTGGAAATGACGAGGCTCACTTTCTTCGAAAAAAAGAATGGGTTTGAAAAGATGGACTCTAGAAACTGCGAGCGAGGATTTCTAAAAATCAACCATAATCCCCGAATAGTTATCTGCTGCGGGTGAAGGAAAACTAACTTACGAAAAGCCTAATGCATTATCCTAGTCACTATCAAAGACAGCAGGATCAGTATTGACAGTGATGATTTACTGTCCTGCAGACACAAAGTTTATTTAATTATATGAAAAGCAAGAGTGAGTAAGTAAATGAGGAATCTAGTGCTGACGCGTTGCAAAAATTCTAAGGTACCTCCAAGCGCTCAATCAGATAAGCTGGGAAGAAATGGACAATACGAACCTCACCGGCATTGAGTAGCCTCCTTTTGAAAAGTATCCATCCCGGCGCAGGAGTGGCCACATTCTGGAAGGTGGACCGCATCTAAGCTCTTCGTAATCATTTCCAGACCATACATTGTACAGCTTGCTTGTGGATATTTCCCGTACAACCAAGTTCCCGTCTTCTAATTATATCGTTACAAATCTTTTGACGCTATCTGCTTCTGAGATATCGGTGGTCAAAAGCCTGAAGACGTGTCACATAATCTGTCCGCAGAGGCAATGTCCTGCGACCGGAACAATAAACAGCCCTTGCTATAGTCTGGTACACGTCACTTTTGAGACCCAGTGATATGCTTCTTTGATGCCACAATTGACGCAAATTAGTAAACATGATTCGGAATTCGTTCACTGACTTGATCGGACATACTTTCATCGGAGCTAACACCTCCACCGAGGTATGTGAAATTCTCCACAACCTCCAGTGTTCCTTTAATTACAAGGGACATGTTCGGAGACTACACTTTCCGGACCATGGCTGTACGTTGAAGATGCATGGCGCATGCCAAAAGATGGCATGGCGGTATTCAGTTTATCACCAATACGACCACAAACAAATCTGCGTTGGCCAGCAAGATCAAACCAGGGTATTTATGCACCACTTTGTGCCTCGTGGGCTTTGATGACCCCACTTCGCGATTGCGTGGATAAGATGTTATGGTCACTGGCCGAAGATAGGAGCACTCAACAAAGCCCTGAGCCGGGCGAGTCAAACTACTGGGTTAAGGATTCGAAGATGGGGATCTCAAACGGCCTACACAACCGAGAGGTAACATTCACTCTTGTGGCTTTTCGTTCACCGAGGGTTACCACACACCCATTCAACTAGGTTATCAGTATCCGTTTTCTGGCATCCAGAATTGTACCTAGTAAAATAATCTGAAAAAAATTATCTGGTAATTATGATGAATCATTCCAGCTTGCAGCTGTCAGCACCCGTAGAATAGGCGTTTTCACACACACTACTTTCGTTATCCGCCGATGTATTTCATGTCTCCATTTTATTTCAACTATTTAAAACGAACCCAGTTTTTTCGCTTCATCCGGCAGCTGTTTGGGGATCCTGATTCAACGGTTATCGTGGCTACCGTGGGGGAATGACATTCAGTTCAAAGACTGGAAGCACTGGCTACTGGCATAGATTCCGGTAACTAGTGACATATGCCCCATTCGATTGGGCTCACCACAACTCGATGCGGCAGGTAATAAAAACAGCAGCGATAACCGTCCAGCTGTAGCACCCTTTCGATGTCTAGCTGTCGCGAAGGAAGCAACAGGACTTAAATACTACCAGGTTGTCCAAGCCTAGACAGGAGCAGTCGGGATATCGGGGTTGGGTTCGAACCACGAACCTTCCGGTCGGTAAGTTCGTACCTTAGCCACTGAGTTTTGTTGAGATCGGTGTGGTATTCGGTACCTGTTGTCTGAGCTGCACAGAAGCTAAGAATGAGCGTTTCTGTTGATTCTTCTTACATTTGATTCCACAACAAAACACGGATATTGGGAGCCTGTCTGATGGCTATGAATCTTGAAGTTGTTTGATTTAGTCACGCCTGAGTTACCATCAACTGCCTAGGAACGGAAAGCGACTTCTTCAGTGAAGTGCACAACGTTCCTTTGCCCATTCACCACTAAATTTTGGCATAAGTGTAAACTGGAACAACCCACTCCCAGATTACTCATGGACTCATTTAGACCCAATTCCATGTTTTCATTCACTATGGACGTCGCAACTTAGTTTTTCTCACACCATTATGTGGGCACTAGGATTCAAGGCTAAGCGCGAGCGGCACTCGCTACTTAGGTAAGCGTATGCGGGCAATTCAGCCCAAAAGTGAACCTGAGCTGAGTGTAAAATAACAATAAAAATTAACGAACTTGGATTGGCTTCCAAAAACTATCTCTCTCGCCTCGCATTCATATTTACGAGACGGCAACAAGATCAATATTTTCGAGGAAGAAAGCATGAAGCTGCCACACACCGAATCAAACTAGCGGTACGTCCAACTCGAAAGACTATGTGGGTCTGAGTGAGTGAGCATACGACAAACAAACCGCTTTCAACCAGATCTGAAATAGATGGACATGAACGAGCCACGTTAGCAAAAGATAGAAATGTTTTGTCCGACGCAACACGCCTATAACCGGATGAATGGCAGAATATGATTTCAAGTGATGAAGGAGCATTCCGTCTGACCGGTTTCATCTACAGGTGTGCATGTGGCAAAACGTTAAGAGAAGGCTCCCAGAATTCAGGAAGCTGAAAACTCGGTGGCCATTCTGTGAATACTAAGCTCCAACCTTTTCTGTGGGACAGAGTCGGTGAACTGCAATGGAAATGAAAGATACATTCAGCCTGCAAGATCGCTGTCAACACCTGCTGATTAGAGACTTAGTAAACCAACAAGAAGGGGCATTGATGTGCTTAGTGTGACTGAAATATTCGAGTTCTGACTGGACAGACCAGACTTGGTTTTCTAACCCACCGAACAAGGTTATATCAGCTCAGCGATATAGCGTACACTGGTGACCTTGAATTCACCATTTCCGAGCTGGTTATCTTGTAATGATGGCAATTTTCTAGTCCAAATAGACGTGGGCTGTTGAAGAGTTTTCAGCAACCTTGTGAGTAGTTTCCTTTATAAACATATGCTGCGATATCTCGAATATCATGCCAACTGAAACATGAAGCGGCGTGTGTGCAACGTATTCAGTTGTAGAACATCATAAACGAGAGATTCAGTTGAGTCTCTCGTGAAAACCAAATTGATTTGTAAATGAGTGATTCGAATTCCTAAGCTATTCGCAAACAAAATGCACTCGTTTACTACTGAGTCACTATTTTCACTCACTGTGTTTTGAGTGTGACACTCGCCAGGACTGTCTTACGATGCATCATGCCATTTATTAGGTTGCGGCTAAAAATACACGATTCCCGGATTTACACGGGGCTTTATTAGTTGTTGACAGCCGCATAGCAAAGCTTTATGAATAAAATAAATCATTCGTTTGTGTTGAAGACACAGGGATTCCAATCCTCCTGATTTCTGTCAAGCACTCTGCAAGCTGTCATCTCAACCCCTAATTGATACGTCGGTCACTAATCGCTTTGCTATGGAACGCTCCATGCCTTCCCGTAGTACACACTCTGGAACAGGCACTGACTAATCACTTGTGGTCTAGTATAGCTGAGGAATGCGTAATCGTTTCAGTTTACTACTGCTTCAACGTAAGTACACCTAGGCCTGGAGTAGTCGCATTGATTTGATAGTATGATTGGTTCCAACTGCAGATTTCTCAATCAATAACACGGAATGTGAAAAGACTGCCGTCGATAAGCATCACCTATCACACTGTGTGGATACCCATTCACTTCCTTCCAACATTCGCGTGAGGACTAAAGTATGTCGATTCGTCGTTAATTGATCCAATCGTAAATGTATGGCGAAAGAATAGGCCAGTAGCCCCAAGTCAGGTTGGGTCAATCGACACCAGCGATCGGAACGGTTAAGGCAATAAGCGAACAAATAATAAGCAGGCGGTTTTCGGCAGACAGAATGGTGTAGTTAACACGAACACATCTCTAGTTTGACTTATGGTCGGAAATATGAAGCATTCACTGCATTTCTATCTTCCCGGAGGATTGTCATCCAGGTCCTCTGAAACTTGTTCGTTGTAGTTGCCGTGATCAATCCCTGAGTCCAGGAATCTTGGCCGTTCATCGTGATGTTCAAATACGTTGAAGAATCGCATTATCAGTACTCCCAGTACCTTTGAGCCTCTCCGTTTGGAATAAAAAGTGGAATAGCAAACGCAGATAGACTTCTGAGTAAGCTGGCTTCTTGGAGTGCTCGGTGACATCCGAATGTATTCAAACTTGCATGTACAAGGGAGAAGAACGAACCAAAAATGTTGCGCTCTCTTGCGAGTCAACGACCGTCAGACACGTGGACGGTCGTGAATGCATGGAAGACCGGGAAAAAAGCTGTGGAAATTATTGGGTCACCGGCATCATGTAAGGACAACGGATCACAGTCACGGGGTTGGGGTGAGGAGTTGTCAGAAAGACTACGACGAGATCCTGAGTGCCGTTGTTTGGGGCGTTTGGAGATAGGACGTTTATCACCGAAGTGGGGCGGATATTTCACGGAGTTCTCCTTGGAATTAAACTCATCACCAACACCTTCTTGACTCGTGATATCAGTTTCGTCTGTTAGGGCAGCAACTCTGAACCGGTGGCAAGGTTTAGTTCTAGAATGATACGAACCAGCAGGAGTGGAAGCTGACGAAACAGGCTGGACACTCAGCATGCTACTGTTACAGTCGGGATGCACATGGAAATCCACAGCCTCCAATCTGGACATGTTATGCGAATGCGATGGAGCCGCATGTGCATTGGAGTCCAAGTGGTGGAAATTGGAGCTAGGCGACGGTCAAGCCTGCTCGCTAACACTGCGTCTGCATAGGATAATGGTCTCGACTGCTTGCTATCCTCTGTGCAGTGCGAATGCCCAGAGCCGACTGTACCGACAGACAGGCGTGAAGACGGACGTAATACGTACTGTTCATCATGGGTTATCGGCTAAAAGATCGCATCGCGGTTGGCTCCTGGAGAAGTGGACTGCGGATATTTGGAAATTCGGAACAGAGTTAAGTGGCTTGCCGAATCGGCATCGAGCTGATTTGATCTGCCATGGTCCTCTGAATCCGAATCCACCATTGGGAATTCGACACACGCATCAGGCGACCTGTTGGAGTGAACGTTATCGATGCAAAGACCATTGGTCAAATACCCATTGTTATGGTCCCAACTCGAATCCAGTGCGTCTACACCCGAAGGTTCAACACCACGAACGGCTGTCAATATGTATCAGGAAGGTCAGCTTCCTGAAAGCAACCACTGAATGCCCGGAATCTACGGAGACTCTCAGCTCCACTGGGTGTTGACCAGACAGACAACGCCTCCTCAATATGCAGCGCGTCACAGCCTTGCATCAAACCCAGATAGCGCGAGTCCGCAATATGTAGCACGTCGCTGCCTCGTACTAAAGCCAGACCGCGTGCGTCAGCATTGGACCAAGTTCAGACAGTGTCCTTCCAATAAAAAAGCTTGAGGCCGTTGTACTTTTCGCACTCGCACGCACTCGCGCTCTCGCAACCACTTTGTTGGAATATAGCTATTGTGTTCCCTTCCGTGAGCCTTTTTCTCTCCGACACTAGGCACTGGAGCGGGTCAGCAGCAGATACCACAGGCCGGCGAATCAGCAGATATAACAATATGTCACCACAAGAATCCTCCAAAACCCTGTTGTAATGCGACTTGGTTCGTCTCTTTCTTGTCGCACACGTACGTCGAGATCGCGCAGTTTTATCACCCGTTATGTGTGTGGAAGACGCTTTGAGGTGATCCGCGCTAGTATGCTGTGTATACAATGTGAGATCTCCTCTTGTTCTGAATGACAATATGGCGAAACGATCGATTATCATCTCTCGGTGTTGTGGAGTCGCCACTGATTCAACAGGATCATCATATGAGGATTTGATTGACAGTTCAGATTTGAGCAGCCATCAGAATCATACGACGATTTGGCTCCACTCTCCAGGTTTGCGAGGAAACTAAAACAATCCAGCGTTTTGCAACGGTGCTATGAGAACTCACTGACATGTCGAGTTTTCCACTATCCTGTTTCCGATTTTCATCCGAGGGAGACGCATCCTCCCAAAACATGCTCGGGTAATAACAACCGGAGAAGAATTCCACGAAAGTCTGCAATAACCTCCTCAGACCACAACTTCGATCGCAAGGAGCTTTTTTATAGCGTTTGATAGATGATGCTTCAGTTAACCATTAGATGGAGACCCGGAAAGAACAAATTAAATACCACTTGTACTACTTTAGTCAATGACGTTTATGCACCGAAAACATGTGGAAATATTGCATATTTGTTTTGTAGAGACAATTACTTGCTTGAAAACCAAATTGATGAACAAATCCTTTCGAAAGATGTATTGAGCCTCATGATTGCGGCATGATTCCACAATTTGATCATTACTCAGAAACAAACAGCAAAATTGCTTTTCAAATTTCTTCCTCAGTATGTAACACTTAATTGATGCTGTGTTTTCAAATAGTCTTGCCGACTACATGTGTATTTGGTAGTGCCTAATCTGTTGATGAATTTGGAGGTAGTATTTCAGTTTCAGTCAGCTAATCGGTTAACCGATCTTCAACTTGAAAAGTGTTCTATATGAGTGACTTGCTTCCCAGTATTCATTAAAGGGGATGCCACCGACTAACCAAATTAATGGCAGTCTGAATGATCCAAATAGATTTTTGTGAGCAAACGTGTTCCATGGAAGTCAAATAAATTCATCGATCTTTTCACCTTTTTCCAGCTCTTATCAATTTTTGGCATTCATATTCGCAAGAATTCTTCCAGAGCTGAGATAGTTACTGAGTATATTTGATTTTTCTAGGGACACCTGTTCCGGTATGCTTTGAAGCATATAAAGGACGGTTTTGATTCAAGCCTAATTGGCGAATTAGTGGACCGAAGCTGAGCAGTTCACTATGCACTAGAAGAAAAGTTGTATATGACCCACAAAAATGAGCGAAGCTCCCTGGTTTAAGGCATTTGGGTGCAAGAGAGAACTGAAGTGAGTTGAGAGTATGGCAAATGGGAACCGCAGAATGGAAAAAGTGAGGCCCACTAATGAGAGGAAAATTGAATCATGGTAAACATACGACCCTAGGAGTGAAGAGGTTTGATTGACTACTCTGTGATGGTTAAGGAGATCATATTCAGCAAAAAGAATGAGTCTCTGCTCGATATCCGTTGGGAGTGAGTCAGCGGGTTCGTACATTAAAGACTCAGTCGCTCTTCCTCTCAAATGCTTTTTGACGGTTCAAAATAGCCATTCGATCAAGCTATTGGGGGTGAATGTCAAGGTGCTGTGCGAAGATCTGGGCGAGGCGTTTCGGTGAATTCGCTCCATTGCATGGCAAAAACCAGATTTGTTCATCCAAGTGAACAATCATAAATCTTCAAACGTGATGAAATTTTGTACTTCCGTAACATGGGGATAATTTCTCAGAGTTTTTCAACTGTATTTGGTAACTACCTGGGCTCGGTTAGGCACTTTACATGCTTAAAGATTCTGCGCCAAGTATAAGTGGACAGATGTAAGGACAATAACTGCTTTGAAGCGCTGCGCAATATCTCCTCAGTATGTTCGCATCACGCATCAGAGCAGTCGATCAACAGTGAGCACCAGTTTGGCAAGAAACTCGCGCCGTTGTCATACCTAAGGCACCGTACACTCCAAAGCACCAATCACGAGATTGACGAAAGCCATGCTGTGATTGGCGCGAGACAGTCATTTAATAGGTCACCAGATAAAAAAGCGAACATTTTATGTGAACCTAGCTGAGTAAGTAACTCATCCGGTTGGGGCAGGTGTTCTTCCGCGCTCTCGGTTGACTCCCAGTTAGCCGTCATTGTCACTTGGGAACTTTAAGCGACCAACTGATATTGGACTAGATTCGTCTGTTTCTTACAGCAGGATCGATCATGCACGCTCGAGGAACGCTAACTTACCCGACGCACATTAACGCGGAGGTAGATGCGGAAGCTTTGTACAAAGCATGCAAAGGACTGAGTAAGTCGAGTACAATTCAGTGGCGATAAATCGCGGAAATTCGCCTACTTGTTTCCATCATAATCAGCAAAAAATGGTGATTCTCTGACTGTATGTTATCACGCAAAGTCCGTATGAGACCACGGCATTAGTTGAAAACGAACCAAGAATTGGCTCGCAGCTGATTCACGTTCGATCGCGGAGTCAGCTTTGGTTGGTAAACATGGCTGAAATCTTAAGATAGTTTGAAACCTAACAACCGGTAGTTTACGCAGAATCGTTTTTCCTAGAGAAACGAACCAGCCATCTACCTTCGTCATTTTCAGCCCAGTTCTGTCGCACGTTTGATTCCCTTTTCACCACATGCTTACTTAAGTTTGCACCGCAGATACGTGTGCGTAGAACATATTCTTCGAGCTCAGACTCGAGGCCGTATAAACCTCCGTGATTGGGGGTCGTTATCATTGATGATTAATTTATTTTTGCATCCCGTTATGTGGCATACCAAGAGTGCTGGCCAGCTACATCACTTACAGTTTGACTGCGCATTCATTGTGTGTGGCAATCGGCTAGCCAAAGCTGTGAAGGCAAACGGCTGACTTCGTTTTCCGGCATCTGATCGCAATGCAACATCGATTATCGCCTGTGCACAAACCGACAGGCCGATAGTTGTGCATTCCAACTTCGCATAGCACCGTATGCGGGCGGTCGATTCGTTGTCCATAGTCCGACTCAACCGTGTGACTCGTTGTTTGAGAAACAGAAGTCTGAAAACGATATTTCTGAGTAAACCAAACATTAGACAACTAAATTTTAAATGAACAGATATGCAAACTGAAAACCATGGGCCAGTTTCTTGCATTTGTGTATTTTTGCCAGGACAGACGGTAACTTCGGAATGATTGTGGTGTCCTTCTGTACTTAGCTGAACCGAGGTTTATGGTCCATTGCGTTTTAGAATGAAAATTTAGGGTTTTTATCTACTCTGAGTTTTTTTTCATCCCGTAGATACGGATGAAGACACAATCAACAATATCCTGGGTCATCGGAGTCTGAAACAACGTCATGAGATTCGTGAAGCTTACAGTCGGATGTATCAGAAGGTATGTCAAGCTATTGGACATGTGTACGTCATTTTTAGACGTTTGAGTGAAAAAAAACCGAGTTGGCTAAAATACTGAAATTCGCAAACACCGCCTATTCGCTCAACCCCATAAGAGATCGGCGAATTTCAACCGTCGAAAAAAATCTTTGAGCTGTAGCACGCTTTCGGTGTCTAATTGCCATGCCACTGGAATAAAACACGAGGTCTGTGACACTGCCAGGTTTCTCAAGCCTGGACAGGAGAAGTCGAGAGACAGACGCAGGGTTCGAACTACGGACCTTCCGGTCAGTAAATTTGCGCTCTAATCACCGAGCCATCTGGCCCTAATTTTAATCTTCGCAGCATACTATTCAAAAAGGATGATTTTCTCATTCGTCAGAGGGCAGTGGGGCAGTTATTATCTGGCAGTGGATTATCTGACAAAGCACAGTTACTTGTACAGACGTAGTACACTACTCATCAGGTTGCTGAAATTTTTTCGACTGCCCATGAATGGTTCCACCCTTCTTGGGGCTAATCATGTAATTGCAGTCCCTGAGTTCCTATCTAGCTTACGTTCTTCTTGAACCGAAATTGCACGAAATTGGCAAAAAAACACTCATTTGCAAACAAATCTGGTTTTGTGAGAGGCTTAATTGGAACCCAGCTGAGTCTCTCGTTTATGATGTTTCTAAGCAACCCAAGGTACTGCACCAGCCACCCCGTGTTTCAGTAGGTACGTTATTCGAGATTTCGCGATATATGTATACACGTAACACATCACTCGTAAGGTTGGGTTCAAGTAGAACCTAGAGTTGACGAAACTCGGGGACTACGCCTACCTAATGAGCCCCAAGAGGGACGAAACTGGTCGTGGACCGAAAACTTTTCGGCAACTGTATCGCGATATCTCGAATATCGTATTGACTCAAACATGAGGCGGCCTGGTGCAGTACATTCAGTTGCTTGAAAACCTCATAAACGCGAGATCCCGCTGGGTCTCTCGCGAAACTCAATTTTTGTGGAGATTTCGTTCTGCTAGTGAAAGCAATCTATGCTGAAAAGCTTAGGAGCACTGTGAAGCTGTTTCATCCTTATTGAAAATCATCTGCGGTGCGCAGCCCACGTGCTCACTGGAGTTTTGTTCGGCGTTAGGATCTTACCCCAATCACAGCACGAAGGCGCTTTTAGAAGGTAGATGTAAGAATATTACGGAGTGCGAATCCTTGGGTAACATCGTTAATTAGTATGGTCATACAGAGACTAGTATTATCAGTCTGTGACATGAAATCTTCCAGCAATTTACTTGCATCAGGTTACAACATCGCCCAGTGTTGTGAACTAGACTTGGGAGAATCACAATGCATAGGTCACCAGGATGGGTGGAGTGTCCTGATGCACTCAGGATTACCTAAACCACGTTTCTGATGTCCGCTCCTTCCAGCTGTAGCGATACTTGTAGGGGCTTGGTGCTCCCCGGTACAGTGAAGTCGAATTCGCATACTCTCTGAAAGTTTCGGCCAATTGATTTTCCTGAGATCTCTTTGCGCGCGCAGAGCTGGATCAATCACTATACGGGAAGATTAGGATGACAAGCTCTGCTACCAGGTTTTTTCTACCTTTGCTCATTGGAATGACTTATAACATCACAAACGTCCCTCCCCAGATGTCGCTTTTAAGTGATCTGTGCTTGTACTGCGTATCGAAAGTACGTGTTTCAGTAAGCCGTCAGTTGTCCGGAGGCAAACAAGTTGTTTACCATAAGCGATAAGCTAACTTGGAGGCACTCGAAATGTGTTGTTCCAAGTTAGACAGAAACCCTTTATCATTTATGGCAGACATGTTTCTCAGAGAATTTGTTTAGAATAAAGCACAGTACACAGTTCTGCTCATGCACGGCCGAAGTCTCACGAAATTCGAATTTACCTAATTGCAATCTGTCCTACTCGACTTTGATTCGTCTGAGGAAATACAGTTTATTTTTATTCATGTGTTTTTCCTGTGTTCAGTCCGGATTAATGCGGTGGGAATGTGATATTTTTCTTGCTATACAAAACACTGATTTGTAAACTTCGATCCGTCTGCCTGCACTTTTCAGGATCTGGTGGATACGCTAATTTCGAACACCAAAGGAGATTATGACAGTCTTCTACAAACCTTGTTCCGTGGGCATTTGAAAATTCTTGCCTACGACTTGTACAAAGGGATGAAGGGATCGGGGACTAACGACACAGTCCTCAATTCTATCATTTGCTGTTGTAATAACACAGAAATATACATGCTCAAAAAGACCTATGAAGAAGGTGAGCACAACTTTTGGTGGGATATTACATTGGTCCTTGCTAACGGTGGTGAATCATTTGCTCTTATGTGACGGTGATCTCGGCAGTTCATGCGTCGCCTTCATAGGCTTGAAGGTCAGTTGGACAATCGAATAAAGTTTATCTATTTCAATCGCAGAACAAAAATGACAGGCTGCTGAGAATACGAGTGTTTGGCATGAGTCAGTGGATGTACACGCCGTAAGTACCTGTGAAGTTCGACACAAGAACATGCTGTGACCGTGTGTTGGAACGTAGACTGAAAGGATAGCGGAGATGGAACAAGGGGTTACGATCAACAGAGCAATGAATACTTCGCAAACGAACTCCTAGGTTTAATTAGGTGTCAAACTCATTGATATTCTTACCAGAGTATTCTCCTAGCAGGTCTGCTCAATAATGTCGGCATGATCCTGCGGTTCTCATCCCATTTTAGATTAACTTGCAATTCTCTGATTTACCAGCTCCAGCTGAGATGGATCAGTGGTTAAGGTCCGCGATTCGAACCCAACCCCAACATCTCGAATACTGTCGTCTAGGCCTGGGCAACCCGACAGTATCTCAGCTGTCGTGGTTTTTTCGGATGGCACCGCAGCTAGGCACCGGAAGAGTGCTGCAGCTGAATGATTCATCCATTCATTCATTTTCACTCGAATTCCCTCACCGATTTGGCTTCGAAGACAGTCGTATTTGGATGGTTTATCACGTGAGAATAAAGATGCTTTTAGTTTGGAAGATTAATTGAGTGTCTTCATACTTAACAGCTTATCATCAGCTTCACACCTCACACTTTAATTGAATAGGTTCATTTGGAAAGCAACCTATTGACTTTGATTTAATTACTACTCCGCTATTTATACAGACTACACAATAAATATAAATATTCGGGGGGAAGCGGCAAACAATTTGACTACAGGCGATCGGGTTTTCGAACTGGTGACACCACCGTCTTCCAAATGAGTTGATTCGAAAACGGGTATTCAGTTGTGCAGCAGGGACTTCATTCGCGGAGAACATGCGGCATCATCAGCCGTGGTGACGTGGTCATTTGCTACGCATGTCGAAGTATTGTCTACCGAGGCCAGTGTTGTTTTCTGGGCCTCCTTTGGGATGGCGCAAAATGCGATTGGGACGATTTGACTTTGGAGAAGAGTGTAGAAAAGAATATGAAGAGTTTAGGTGTTGTTGGTGCGGCTCTTCTCCCAGGATGGCATCTCATGACACCCTCTGTGCCTGGCTGAATATATTGCAAGAAATGGCAGCTAATCCATGTTAGTGGCGAGATGGTTTTCTGAGATTTAGGCACTTCAGAATGCTTGCAATAGATCAGCATCGGGTCTCCTACTCACCCAGTATTTTTTCTGTTATTCACTTTAAAGCTTTAATCATAATGAAATACCATTATTGTCTCATTGAAGGCAAGTGGTCACGGGATGGCAGAAACCAGCTAAACTGCCGGTAGCCAGAAGTTAACTGAGAAATAATATACCAGATTCCATCTAAGTCTAGGTGCTTTACGTGTGCTGGAAGACGTCAGATTTTCTGATATGCGTTTGATCGTTCGTTGAGAGATGGATATCAGTCTGTTCTTCCAGCGCTTGTTTCACTGTCTCTGCTAACGTATCTAGCCACGTGGCCCAAAAGCCAACTTGGGTGAACCTAAGAAAAATTCTGCTACATAGACGTCATTCGTTCGACCACATAACCCAGTATCTGGTGCAATCCCTTTCCAGTACTCGTAGAAAATTTTCATTCCACTGTTGCACGCGATTTCTGACTGGCTTCATGTAGTTGTGGTGGTTGCTGGACGTATAGGATTCACGGCCCAATCACTCTTGTAAGTCCACCCCAAAGGTGAAGGGAGAATTAGTGGACTTCAGTTTCACTCTTATCGAAGCTCATTAGCTATGTATACCCTCGATCCCATGGAATTTTAATACCCGATAGCACAATTTGTGTTCGCTATCTTCGCCCCTGAGAAGTGCGGATCAATCTCCACCGGGGGTCTTGCAATTTCTTGGTGAGGATTTTGTCCCACGGGTTTCTTCTTTAGTGACGAAAGCAGGCAAGAGCGGTGGGAATTCAAGGTGACGAACTGCCGAAAAGACAAAAGTCCTTTGGGTGAAGTGGAAAGAGCGGTGGGATTCAAGGTGACGAACTGCCGAAAAGACAAAAGTCCTTTGGGTGAAGTGGAAAAGAAAGTATTCTATTCATCAGCCCGTATGCAGAAAAAAGAGTTGTGGACGCGAAATACTCCTGTTTGCGCACTACTTTCGTTTAAATGAGGCAGATCTACCAATGGTACCGACGGACGCTAAACCATGGTTTCTCCTATCGCATGTCAGCCGTCAGAAACCCGTCCCATCTGCATTTACCCAGCCAGAAAACAACCAGCGTCAACTCCAGTTGGTTAAGTCGCCCACCATTATGAAATGGACGGAACGAACCTCTAGTGCCCTCGACTCTTCTTTGCGGCAAACCAAGTGTTTCTCAGCGAACCTCACTCATTTTCATATCAATTTGGCCTTTACAGGAAACCAAACTGAATCACAGCTGAAGTTTTCGTCTGCGATGTTCATCTTCAACTGAATGTTTCAGTTGGTACGACATTCGATATATCGAAATACACTGCTGTCTAGGAGCAATGCACCATTCATAAGGTTACTGGAAACTCTTCGAAAGCCCACGGCTAGCTTCTTGGGGCTTCTTAGGTAGGTGCTATTCTCCAGTTTTCATCAACCTTGTGTTCTACTTCAACCTCAATTGAACGAAATTAGTGAAACTCGTTCACTAATCTGAAGATGAACGTCATTAGTGGGAGACTTAACTGAATTCCGTTGATCCGAAATGAAATGCAAAAATTTCCAACTGAAAAGCAGCGATTTTTCCACCAGGCCTCTGGTAACGACGAGTTTCCCTTTGTCCATTTCAGTGCTCCGTGAACACGATCCAAAAAGTGAGTCATCCACTGATTAGTAGTTCTTTCGCCGGTTAGCGTTCAAACTGATATAAAATTCTTGATCCTCTCTACAGAAGCTGCAAGTCGATCCTTGGAAACTGATGTGATGAAGGAAACCAAACCGCCGTATGAAACGCTACTAATGAGACTGTTACAAGGGAAACGTCAAGAAGATTCGATTGATCGGATTGAACAAGCCCAGAAGACCGGCAACCTGTCACTACTGGTCGACGACAACTTGGTTGAACAGGACGTAGCAACGCTGTACCGAGCTGGAGCAGGGTAATTTCTTAGCTTGGCGTTTGGGTACTTTTCCCACCAACATTCCAGACTTGAGCGCCCAGACTGAAGTTTGAAGTCTACAGTTACGAAACTGCTTGCTTGAGTGATACTGGACCCGACATTCCACAGAAAACTACGTAGATTGTGGTATTCTGGAAGTGGTCTTCACCTGTTGTAGCAGATCTTGGACAGACCATTTGAAAAGCCTAAGATATTCGTGTAAGAAGATCTTGAAGACGATAAGTGCTTGGTCCGACCCAGAATTGATGAAATATCTTTGAAAAACATGACGATTGTTTGTCAACTTTACTCGTCATCCAGCATAACTGCAGGTGTTTTCAATCACAAAGACAGTCGTGGAAGTGCACTCTACGGTCAGTCTCGCGTAGATACTCAATCCTGTCACTTTTTTTATTTTCGATATATGTACAGAAGGAACACTGGGTTTGAGCTTCGTATTTGTCGAAACTGGTTAACAATACATCCCCTTGATTGTGTCGGGACCCGAACTCCGGTTGTTTGGTATGCGCCGCAAGCGTTTTACCTATAGTTAACCAGCATACACTTTGGGCAACTGAATTCCACAAGCTAACGTGTTCATATCTCAGTGTAATGTATTATTATGCTTGATTGTGAGTGTTTAAAGTATCAAATGTTTTTTAGCAGTTTGGATAAAGTTGAGTATAAGTCACCTGCAGTATGGTTCTGCATTGTTGTGATGCATTGCTGTTGGACTGAACAAGTCCATCTTGCTTTGATCTGCTCAGAATTCAAGCGATTTCTTGTGAATTTTAGGAGCAGCGAAAAGAAAGGTGATCCGGATCCCTACATTAACATCTTGTGCGATCGTAGCAAGTATCATATCAAAGCCATTTGGGAGCATTACAAACGCGTGAGTTCGACCACCTGAGTGTTTCACCTAGTTGACAACGCCTGAATCATGTAATAGCCTAACAAAAGATGCGTTGGGTTTGTGATGCGTGGTTTAAACGGTTGTAGAGAGAACAACGGGTATTTACTGGTTTTAGTTGGTTGTACTTTTACAACTATGTTGACTAACTTGTCGTAAGTCAGGGTTAAATTGGTGTGCAGGTGAGTTTTGTGGAAATTTGGCTCAGTTGGAACGTAAGGTTGACGGAGACTCCTAGGCTCTGCCTACTTGATGAGCCTGAAGCAGCCCAAAAGCGGTCTTGGGCTGTTCAGGCGTTTCGACCGACTTCAGGAGCAGTTTGCTTCAAGGAAATACCATGAGTGTAGCTGCGAAACAGATTGGGCTCCAGAATTTTCCACTGTGTATTTATTTAAAAACCGCCGGAAAATCTCCGTGGTTACCAGATGTGGATTAGAATGCGGAAAGAAAACCGGGACCTAACTGAATAAATTCACATACACGGATTCGCAATAATGTGTGTCAATGATGTAAACTATGGATGATTTTTAAAAAAAAATGCCAAAAGTACCTCTGACCACTGCTATTTGCACTGAAAAATATTGGAATTCGGCACCTTCGTTCAACTATCTATCAAAAGCGTAGTCTTATGAACCTGACCTATGAACTTGACCGGTTCGAGTGTTTGCCTTCCATATCTGTTTCTTCGTCAAGCGCCACGGAACCACCTTGGTGGAAGCCATCACGAAAAAGTTTTCGGATCCGCTACGCACCGGCTTGAATACAGTCTGTAAGTGATTCAGTCAGTTGGTTTTGACTTCAGTCCTCTTATGATGTGACCGGAGTGCGTTGAAAAGTTAGAAACTTAGCCGTACCGTTTGTCATTCTGTCTGATTCTAGCCTGAAATCCTATATGAAGTGCTCTGTAGGCGGGCCATCCCGGTCCGAAGAAGATGGAACTAACGACGTTATGTCCGCCAGTATATCACATACGAAAGCCGCATAAATACCCTGGTTACAGAACCGTTGTTCTGCTATGACACTTTCTTGGGACTTTTTAAAAATCGCCGCTACTCACACTCCTTCACTTAGAAACGCAAAATGGCGCTGTTGATTGGCTTAAAATCTGGTTATTGTATATTGACCAGTTGATCAATTGAGCAAAGCTCGAATTCCTCGCCAGTAATGTCTGAACGTGTTTGTTTTTATCGGTTCACTTTCTTTCGAATGAAAAGCCGTTGAGACCAAAATATGCGATGAGCTCCCCTGCTACACAAAACAGACTTAGCACATCGACGGTTCAATGAAAATCTCGTGTGCACAAAGATAGCATACCAGAAGTTTACACCACGTATTCCATGGCAGAGTATTCATGGAGATTCAGAAGATGTTTTATAGAGTTGCAAACGAACACTAATCGGGTGAGGAGGATTTCAGGATATTTCTCAAAAGGAGTTCATCTTCCAGCATTTTCCCTGACAGCGTTGAAGCGATTGCGGACCTATATTATAGAGATAGAATCGATCAATTGTAGGCTGACCTTCAAACCTGACCTATCCAGAAGGTGTTGACACTGTTCTGTGCATTAGTAAAGCGATTCAACCTTCGTTTATTACCGCTGTCCTTTGACTTTTCCTGTTTGTATGCTCTTCATGCACATCGAGCTGTACCCAACTAAGCGGTTCAAATTGCTTTTCCAGTGATGGCCCAAGTAAACCTGCGTCTTCTTCTGGTGTGCCAGCTGCACGAAGCAATGTATGGCACCGGGACTGACGAAGATGCCCTCATCCGTCTAATATGCCTGCGTTGTGAGGTAAGTTCAAGTCAGTATCGCCTTGAAGGCGACTGCAAGAGATGTGCACTGTGCACACCAGACATCAGTACTTCTTCTAGGAAGTTGTCAGACTCATGTCGATATTTGGGTCTATCATTCGAATCACGTGCACACAAATGCAGGACCGAGATTATCTAGCATTAGGTGAATGGTTCGAATTCAAGGTACAACGAAACCAGTGAGGACATTCCAGGAAGCAAATCGATTTCATATGGCAACACGAAAATACTCAAATTCACATCAACGTTGCAGTCTATTGTAGTTTTATCGATGTAAGAATGTGTATTCACACGCTACTAGTGTCTCGCATCAGCTGAGACCCTGCTGTTGTCAATTCGACTTTCGTACGGAATTATTAGTTTTAAATCAACTTAAGGCATACATATCCATTACATAAAGCTGCACCAGGACCAGAGCACAGTTGGAGTTTTAAATCACCATTCATCTGTTCAACTTCAATTTCAGACTGACATGACTTCAATCAAACAAATGTACCAGGAATATTTTGGAAAATCCCTTGCTGAGGCGGTGCGAGCCGACACGTCGGGTGACTTCCGAAAACTTCTGCTGATCTTGCTGGGTGATTGAACGACAAAGTCAATGCCTTGTCCCACGAAACTCCTGTGGGAATTCTCCTGATCCATCAGCCTTATTATTATTTGATCCGTATCTCTTTTGCATCAGAGCCAAACAGTTCAGTGTCTCAGTTTAAAGTAAGCTTACCCCCTGCTTTCTTTACGACGACTTTTCTTCAAACTGCTGTTAAATACTTCAATGGGAGTATAACTTCGTTGTTACACGTCACTGATTTTTATGCCAAATTTTCGGGGTTCATTGAGGAGGCTCGACACGGCTAGTTACAGAAATCTGAACGTACCCCCGCACTTGTACTCACATCGGATTTGCATGAACGATCCTCATGCTGTCCTGGCACGAATGCTGGGAAGACTAAACAATGAGGGCCGAGCAAGTGGATTCCGGTTTCGCTCCTATCAGAGCCTATGCGAATTTTGTATTCCTGATCTTAGTGAAAGAGTAATTCCGGTCGTCTGACACGCGAGGCGAGCGTATTACGATTACATCGTTGTCGCGTGCTGGGCGCACCATTCATTGCTTCGTCGGCTCTAGAAGTTAATCGACAAAGTCTCCGCTAGTGTCATTGGTTTCAGTTGCTTATCAAGATTACTCTAGATCATGCCATGGAAAACTAGAACCTGGTGGACACGTTTTCAGCTGTGTAGAATTAAGTTCGTCGGCAGTGCATTACTGAGGTGGTGTTATTGACATCCTTGCATCTCAATTTCGCCTAAAATCTGCGCTGCAAGTGAGGCACGGGTTTCTCGCACTACATCCACAATATAATTGTTCCAGGACAGAAGGAAAGGAGAACGACGTGAATACGAATTCATTCAGTCTGTTCGTATTATAAAGTTGTAAAAAACGAAGCCTGGAAAATATTAGGCAAGTTTTGTCACTCTTATTATGTGTTAGCTGGTTGTATGCACACTTGGGCTACCTCTATGTGGCTAGTGGTTGCATAAGTTATTTACCCGAATTTTTCCATCCACCAGTCTGTTGGATTTACTTGAGTTAGTCTCATTTTTAGCTATCTGTCATCTGGTACACCCACCATAGGATGATTAGATAAGCAACTATGCGCAAAGAAACATGACAATCCGTGACGTGTTTCCCGGTCATAGGGTCGTCTTACACGTCTTACACGCACTAAGAAACATGCTTTGGGACTGAACTCGTGGCCTTTCGTGAATGGACTGCTGCGGACACCTGTTTCAGGTCACTTGGTTCAGAAAGCTAGTCTGGCTCGGTAAAGGGATAGTGTCACATCCTGCCTGTCGTATACACACTCGTGCGCGTCCATCCGGACACAAACACGCGGGGGTTACGGTCTTAAATGGCTATCTGTCTCTGTCACTGGCTAATTGTCGTCCACGCGTCCATCTGGACACACACACGGGGGTTACGGTCCTAAACGGCTGTCTGTCTCTGTCACTGGCTAATCGTCGTCCCACTTCCCCGCTTCTGAGTCAAGCTGTTGACCCTTGTGAAATTGTCACTACATCTGCTGTGTGCATACAGTCCGTGCCATGGGTACAGGGGATCCGGTACTCAGTGGATAGACTTATCAGGCACCAGATAACGAAACAGTTGTGTGTGTCCGGACCAAGAGACCGTACTCTGTCCATGCACACCACATCTCTATTATTTCCATCGTTTAATCAACCAACAGTGTATAATCTCAATAAATCATAACCTCACTGACGTGATTTTGTCATCTCTCAAAGACCCCGGAAGTGATGTGTTCCAGTGAACGGTCTCTAGTCTGGTTGGTTGTAAGCTGCTACCTCGAATAGAGAGCCGTAATTGTTCCTTAGTTATGGATGCATGTGTCCACTGGTTATTCAGTGAATCAATAATCAAATCGGTCTTCGTGAATCATGTGACCGTGCCACAAATTACTACGCGGAGTAGCGGGAGTGACGAATCCATATGTCTTTGTGATCCACACTCATCCATGGATAGCCAACTGGTGGGATGAAGAATGCCCTTTAATGCATTGTCTCCTGATGAACATGAACTAAGCGGTTGCAAGTCACGAGACATGAAAGTAAAAATCTCATTTCGATAGACTTTTTGACAGGTGAATATTCCCAAGTATCTCCTTGAACTTTCTCGGGTGTTCTTCGAATATTGAACAATAATGAGCAGACGCTTTAAAGCAGTCCTATAATTTCCGTACCAACCTTCGCCTCCCGTTTGGGAACGGAGCTATCACCTGATCAGACACTACTCGCGTGTTCACTCAGTACGTATACACCACACTGGTAGATATTTTAGGAGGACTGACGTACTTCATTGAGTTTTGATGAATAAATTTACAGATCAGATACCTCTAGTATGTGACCATTGTGCAGGGGGTATAAATTAACAGTTTTTAAGCTGTTTAGACATGCTTTGGCGTAGATAAGTGATGTGCTCAGTTTTATATCCAACAGTGCATATACACCCAGAACACGGTAACTCCTCTAACAAACATAACACCGACATAAGCATTATTAACATTTCATCGCGTATCCTGAAAGTTTTGTAGCCAGTTCGGTCATCTTCAATACACTTATTGGCCCGTGTAAGGGCACTGCTGACAAAACGCGACCTGTATCATACATAATCTCACTACTTTTTCGAAATAAGTAAGTATCCTATTTACCCATTATTTTGGGTGTTACGGGAAATAATTCGTTTTTAGTGTTTGGTTGAAACTGCTATAGTCAACTCTGGCCCCTCCAGTAGTTGGTATAATGCGGAGGCGGTTGATTGGCCGCTTTCGAACGGTTGTCATAGGGTACACAGAATCCTGGATCAATGTGAACGCTGTTGTGACCACTTCAGAAGGGTGCTACCGTAGGAGACCAAATACTCGTCGTTATTCGCCCACTTGTTCAAAATCCTCATAGCCGAACCTGGGAACGCAAGCGTTAAGTCCAGTAGTCCTGACACAATACATACATATCAAGATTTGAAGACAACTAACAATTTTGGCTGCGTTAGAAACAGACTAACAAAAAATGAATTCTAATTAACTCAAATGCATCACAAGTGTGGGCGAAATTACTCAAGCATCGTTTTATACTCAGCAATCTTCTGTGGATTAGCAACTGAATATAGCATGTATAAACAGTGGCAAAATTTCATTGCAGCACACAGAATGTCTGGGGACTGGTGGAAGTAGATTTTGGTGAATGAGCGGAAAGTTTGTAGTGCGCGCCTAAACGATCATCAGTCTCAGTGAAAAAAATAAAGAAGCGACGCAATCACATTATTGGTCACTGTCAAGTTTTGTCAGTCGTGCATCTTCCGTCGCACGATAATTCCGCCCTTCAACGATCAGCTGTCCCGGTCAGTGTAAGTTCGAAGTCAGATCAGTGGTCCAGTAGTCCCTACTGATAAAGTGCAGTATCTGCACTGGCTGCAGTCGTGCCCTAATTACGCAAATTTCCTTTTCGGAGCGTTGAGATGCAGTTCACCCATAGGCTCTTATTGCTGTGTGTTCAAATGCCAGACAATCAAATGAGAAACGCATCTCCTTCTGGGCCAGTGATGATGACAAGTAGTCGCAATGCGACCGGAAAATGTACGCCGTACCCTTTGTGGACTCTTGTTATATCTGCTGATTCGCCGATTTTCGGTATCTGCTGCTGACCCGCTCCAGTGCCTAGTGTCGGAGAGAAAAATACTCACTGAAGGGAACACAATAGCTATATTCCAACAAAGTGGTTGCGAGAGCGCGAGTGCGTGCGAGTGCGAAAAGTACAACGGCCTCAAGCTTTTTTATTGGAAGGACACTGTCTGAACTTGGTCCAATGCTGACGCACGCGGTCTGGCTTTAGTACGAGGCAGCGACGTGCTGCATATTGCGGTGTTGTCTGTCCTTGATCAACGCGGACTCGCGCTACTGTGACATGCTGCATGCTGAGGGGACGTTGTCTGTCTGGTCAACATCTAGCGGAGCTGAGAGTCCCCGTAGATTCCGGGCATTCAGTGGTTGCTTTCAGGAAGCTGACCTTCCTGACAAATCCCAACAACTACCACAGAGCGCAGATATCTTTGCGGCTGGTTGGCGTTTCCTTAATCGTACAATACGTGTCCTGCCTGTTTATGGTGCTTGTCTAGTGATTAACGAAGAATGACAGGGTCATTCGTTTGAATGAGGGCTAATCGTTAGTTGTTTCTGAAATTTCTGAGTTCAAAATCCGACGCATGTGGTTCCCGAGATTCTTTACTATAGACACTACCTCAAAGAATGAATGCGTGCTAATCAATACATTCACGTGATGTTTTCTACGTCCGTGCCAGTTGATGGTTCCCTATTGCTTCCTTTTTATCATTCTTGGAAGGTTAAAAACTTTTCCTGATTAGGACTGTATAATTAGTGGTGTCGCCGGAGAAGATAGCTGCTGATCGCTCGTGAAAAAAACGTGTTTCTCACATTAGTTTACCACCAGATCCAAATTCCAGGCTGTAATGCGGCCGTTCGTCTAACCTCAAAATGACCGGAAATAGTTTTGGTTGAAGCGGTCATCTACGTTGTCCTTAGTTGTGTATGGTATCAAGAACAGCCATCGGGTAGTTTTGAACACTAACGCAAAACGATAATGTGTTGGACACATTATTGCACGACCCTGTAAAATACAAAACACCTAGTCTATTCCGTAATACTTGCTCTGTGTAAATCGGCTTCACCATTTGAATATGGTATTCAGCAGCAGGAGTATTCAGTGACACACATGGTTCAAGACAGATAGATGTTCTCCACTCCACTGAGTCACCAGTAGTGTACAAAATCACAGGCTTATCAAGCACACATCTATTCAACGATACAGACGCTCACCTTACTCCATAACTCTCATGCTGTCAGCTGCTATCTTATGTTACTCTCTCTCTCTCTCTCTCTCTCCCACTCTGCACTCCGCATGTACAAATGCCACGGGCCACAATTTGGGAGCACTAGACTTAAGCCAATGAGTCTTGCAAATCTGAATCACTTAAAGAATACGACACCCGCGAGCCTAACGGTTGCCCGACTGAGTACTGCCTTGACTGATAAATAAACAATGCTGGCTGATCTGACCCGATAAGATGCAGTTCGGCTATCCACATGAGGGGTAGTTTAACGTCGAATTAAAAAGCATGCTCCTACGAGCTTTCTAACTAATTGCTTGGAAAATGTTTGAAATGTCTTTTTCAATCTATTCGGAATTTTTTGTAGGGTGGATTTACCTGTCTTTC